ACAACTAAGGCAAAAATGTAATTAATTCAGAAAATCTTTTCAGGACCCCACCTTGAAGTTTCGGGACCCCACTTTGGGTCCTGACCCCAACTTTGGGAAACACTGGTTCATAAGATATTTCGCTAACAGACAGAGTTGGTCCTAATAGGTGTATTTAATACATTTAAACCAGTTCATGTGTGATCAGTTAGTCAGTCACAGCTACTACCCCTTATTTTAGCTCATTTATTGGTAAGAAAAAGTTTTGATGAGCTGAGGCTGTCATCTTGGACTGGATTCACTCCAGAAGTTCAGAGTCAGAATCTGAATACTTTAATACCTGGAGGGAAACTGCAATTATTACAGCTGCAACTGTTCAAGTAAGCATTAGAGATAAAGTACAAAGGAAGAAATATTTGAGCACACAAGGAAGAAATAAGCATAAAAACTCTGGAGAACCAAATGAACACAGAGAACAATGAGCATTATTTAGCATATGTACTGTGTAAATAGAAATAACAACAGTTTTTTTTGTTTTTTTTTTCCCTGCTCTCGGAGGACTAAAACACTTCTTCCTTATCTTCCCAGCTTCGCTGCTTGGAGCCTTCTCTACATTTTTCATCCGAAACTAGAAATGATGGATATTTTTATTTTTATGGATTTGGTTAGCTGGTCTCTCAATAAAACTTTTGGAACAAAGTTTTTTCTTCTTCCATGGGAGGACATGCCAAAGGTGGGACCTCTGTTCTCTGTTCTGGATATACAGTATATCTGGATTCCGATCACTGGATGCTACAGATTGGCCTGGTGGTCTCCTGGTGTTCTACAAAACAGCGTTGGTGGCTTTTCATCTCCTGGCTGACTGACCAATTTGAAGGATGGCCGTACCATCAGCAGTCAGACATTGGCCTTGAGCGAGCTGGACTCGGTCTGCAAGCGGTTCTATTGAGGGTCGTGGGCCGGCTGTGGTTCCTGGACTTTGCTAGCCAGATGGAATTGATCTTGGAGAAGCTGGTAGATCGGGTCAGCAGAATTTGTCCACATTATTTGTCTGATTGGATTCGCCACCTTGAGATGTACCAGCAGACATTGAAGCAGATAGAAAATTGTTGTCGTCTGCCTGACTCTTCTGTTCCCAAACCAACTGATTACAGAATCTGGATCTTCCCGACAACGGCCTTGATCTGTTGACTAAATTCTTTCTGGCTGGATTACGTCGACGAGGCTCTGCCCCACACCTTCCCCTTTCCTCTCTCACCTGTCTAATCTGGTTTCCTGAGCAGGCTGAAGGCCTCACAGAATGAACAGTTACCATCAATATTTTGAACTATGGGGACTGGATTCTTCAGGCCCCCCTAATCTCACTTACTGCTCTGGCTAATAAATCTGCCCTATGCAGAGGTTTTTCATAAACACCATAGTGTGTCACAGTGTTGATATAATATGATGTTTTAGCTTTTTTCCTCATCTCCTCTTGTGTGGTTTTTAGTTTTTCTGTTATTAAGGTAGCGCAACTGTCTTTGCTGCATGACCGGTCTTAACTGCCCCCTTCCCTGAATGTACAACACCTTGTGAATTTATTTGTGTGAAAGGCGCTATATAAATAAAACTTTACTTATTTACTTACTTGAATAAAAATAACAGTGTAAATAGAAATAATAATAGTGTCAATAGAAATAACAACAGTGTCAATAGAAATAAAAACAGTGATATACTCTGAAGCTAAAAACAGTGTGACTGATGCAAAGGTCCCATCAGATATCATTAGATGATAAAAGAATTGGTGATGATATTGATATTGCACTTTAGATTAAGGTGTTGTAGATAAATAAAGTGCACAGATGTATTAAAGTGACAGTTTCACATGCGGAGTTGTAGTTTGAACGACCTCCTGTGGTGCTCAGTGGTGCATTTAGGTGCAATGATTCCTGCTCTGAATGTGCTTCTGTGACTGCTGACAGTGTTGTAGAGAGGGTGATAACTGTTGTCCATGATTCCCTGCAGCTTTGCCAGCATCCTCCTTCTTATAGACTTTTAAATGACTTTTAAAAAATTGTAACATCTGAAATGTCTATAGTCGGACACAGTGATTCTGTTTACTGGTTATTTCCATAGACTAACCCTGACCCCTGACCCTAAACCTAACCTACCTTCACTCACACATTAACCCTAATCCCTGACCTACCAAGTGGATTTCCCCCYATTGGGACGGGGTTTTTGTCCCCATAAGGAACTGTGGGTCTTCACAAGGCTGTGTGTGGCAGAAAAATAGTCAAAAATCATCCCCAGCAGGTCTAAGGTTCTTACTTTGTCTTGAGCTTTGGCCAGCTGGCTGCGCAGGCTGGCAGCCTCCTCCTCCACAGTCTTCCTCTGGTCTTCAACATGACTGAGCTGACTCTCCATCGAATCCAGCCAGAACGTCTGAGAGCAACATGAAACAAAGAAAACAACCATTATCAATCAGGTTTCACTTGAATTAGACAATACACACATCAGTAACTTTAACTGATGTTAGTAAAATTCTTCATACAGATTTATTATTTTACAGCAACAACATGATCATAAATAGGGGCGTTACAAACCCTCATGAGACGGGACAAAATCCTGGGTCCACCAGAAACACACCAGACTAAATAGAAACAGTATATAAAGTTTTTTGCCACAAACTCAACTCTCCTGTCTGGTTTTTCCTGAGTCTCTTCAGACCTTTGAACAGTGCTTTGATCATAATTAACCTTCTAACTACAGATTATTTTAGACATATGAAACAGTTTGCACGGTGATGATGTTTTACCTCCACCTCAACGTTTGACTGACTCGTTTAATTTAAACTGCATTAATGACATGTTCTATTTTCTCAAAAGGAAGAAAAAAATTGTATAGGTCCTCTGGACGGGTTCTTCTTTAATGAAACGTTTCGTCTCTCTTCCAAGAGACTTCTTCAGTCTGAGAGTTTCAGGCAAAATTCAGGCTTTTGAGTCCTGCCTCCAGGTGACTTCTATTTTCTCAGCTTCAGAATCAACAAATATCTTGTAATTTAATCTGTTTTAATTTTTCTAAATGCCAGTGGTGGGCACCAGTCCGCTAAACCGCAAATCTGCTAATTGCGGACCTAAACATTTCGTTTGCGCTTTAGTGGACTTACTAATTTTTATAATTCATAAGTGGATTTGCACTTTCTAAAATGAAAATGCAGTACCGCTAATAACTAATTATCTACCAGTCATCCTTATCTTGAACAGCAGAACGTGAGGCTATCAATGACTCACAACAAATTGTGATCTATCCAACAGCACCCCTCCCAGATAAACACACTTATTGTGAAGGTATGCATCCTTGCTGATTGTTGCTTTGGTCACAGTTCTTATTTCCCACAATGCTTTGTGTCTGCTTACATAGCAGGAAGGCAATAGCAAAAACAGTAGTTTGTAATCCATAGTAAAATTTTGTATGTATTGATTTATTTTACTTTACAATCTGAGCTCCTTTTTTAAATAAAGTTTAAACGCTGGAGTTCAACACTTGACGTAATTGGTCGAAGCAATCGGCCAACGGGGTTAGACTGACATCTAGTGGTCAACTGGAGCAACTACATGGAAAACTTTAAAATCCAAGCTCTTATTTTGAAGGAATGATAGTTTCCTGTACTCCGTGTTTTCGTTTCCCATCACAAATCAAATCCGTCATGTACCCAGAATGCATCGCTTCAGTTTTCCAATAAACACTTTTAAAATTACTTTATTGATGCTTCTTTAATGAAAAATCTACAAGAAACAAAAGAAAAAGACAAAGAAGCAGCCGAACTAACAATCTTCAACAACTTTTTAATTTTTACACCAGGAGCTAAAGGTCTGTTTCAGGAAATCACATCCCCAGCAATCGGCGCTTGTATGATTAAGCTGTAAAAGGGTTCATATACTGCTAGTTGGCAGTGTTGTGCATGTATTGTACATGAATTGTTGTCAGCTAGTAAGTGTCAAATTGAACTTGCGCTTTAAAATTAGCTTCAGCTAGTTTTTCTATGGCATACGCAATTTTGAAGTTGCGGACCTAAATATTTTTATAAGCGCTTTAGAAATTGCGGAGCTAATTTTTGGATTAGCGCTGCCCACCACTGCTAAATACCCAACAGAGACTGTTCCTCAATTACTTCAGGCAGTCTCAGTGAATAGAGTCAGTAAAATAAAGAGTCAGAGGGAGACCAACAGAATGAGAGAAACCAGGGGCTCGTTGCATGAAAGTCAGATTTAAATAATCCAGCATATCGACTGACTGATCACCTGGAGCTGATGGCTATTAACTCAAGAAATCTAATCTTTTATACTTATAAGATCTTGTGGCATGAGATCTCACTGCACACCTTTTTGTAAAGTTTTAATCTGACATTTAATCTGAATGAACAGATGTGTTTGAGCAGCCATAAGACCCACCTTCTCTGTGAGGTCAGAGAGCTGCTGTGACAGCTGGATGTTCCTCTCCTCCAGCTGTGCAGCGTCCTCCAAAGCTTTGGTTAATTCTGCCTCCAGAGCAGACACACAAGCTGCCATCTAACACAAAACAACCAACAATCATCTACCTGCTAATCCCACCAGCACAGGACAGCCCCACTGCTCACACTCATACCCTGTTCCTCTCCTCAGCATGGAACATCTCCCTCCTCTCGTTCTCCTGCAGCAGCTCCAGCAGCTGCTGCTGCAGACCCTGCATGTTGGCAGCATTCTGGGTGTTTCTCTCTGTCAGCAGCCCGTTCTCCTCCTCCAGATCCTGGCTCTGCAGACTCAGCTCTGAAATCTGCAGAGAGATGAAAACCTCCAGAGCTGCTTCTGTTGTTCAAGATGGAAAGTTTTCTGATTTATTTACCTGTCTCTTAAAATGATCTGCTGCTTGTTGAGACACAAACTTCTCCTGTTTCAAGTCCTCCAGTGTTTGTCTACAATAAAAAGATTATAAATGAGTATTAAAAGGAAAGGTAACTGCAGATCATTTAACAGTAGGTGCTGCTTACCTTAACTCATCCTGGAACTTCTTTAAGTCTCCTTCTTTCAGTGCAGCAATGTTTTTCTTAAGAATGACGTTTTCTTCAGCAAGACAACTGGCTGCAGATCTTAAAAAAAGTAAAACAAAAAACATCAGAGAACTAGTTTCCAACACTAGATTATTGCGTTCACACAATAAAAAAAAGACAGATTGTATCTCACAGGACCGTGACTGTTGGAGACTAGTCACCAATCACAAAATGTGTCCAAACATTTGCTGCGGTTACTTGACAAATGAACATATTAAAAAGGCCACGCATTTTCTCTCAAAATAAAGAGTAGTTGTGGGTCGAAAGAGTGACGCCTGCGAGGGAGCTCTCCTCTGACAGGAAACAAGAATGTTTTAAAATCTGGTTCAGATCTGCTGACGTTCATTCAAAGATGTCCTCCAGTAGATACATTTATAAATGTGGCAGCAGCTGCCAAGGTCATACATCCCACCATGGATCAGTCAGCAGCAGCATCTGATCAATCTGTGATCCATGATGTGATGTAAATGTAACATTTTCTACATATAGGCCAAATTAATCACTAAAATAAAATAACTTTGTCTGTTTTTGTCACTTTTACAGTGGATTGCATCAACTCTGTTACATACAGAAGGGAAACTTCACCAAAGTGAAACATAAATCTGTGGATCTGTGTTTGATTACTCTGCCTGGCTTTCTCAAGGACCAGGATGTGACACAAAAATCTGAATTTCAGAACTGAAAGTGAAAGTAGACAAACTGAGTTTTTAATAAACCAAAATACAGTTTCAAAGCAAAGATACAAAAGTTTAAATTCAGTTTCAATTTAGTAAAATTCATTTTCAAACCAATGCATTCAATTTCAAATTCTGCACATTCAGATTC